CTTCTTGTCGCCCGCCGTGGCACCGCCCTCGCCCTCGCCGTCGTCGTCGTCGTCATCGCCCCCAGCTGCGGCTGGTGCGGACGGCGCCTCCTTTTCGGGCTCGGGCGTGCCGGGTGCCGGGGACGAGGACGCTGCCGCCGCCTTCTTGGCCGCTGCCTGCGCCTTCTTCTTCTCCTTCTCCTTTTCCTTCTTGAGCTTCTCCTTTTCCTTCTTGCTCAGGATGCGCGGCGCGTCGGCGTCTTCTTCGTCCGCCTTGGCCGATGGTGGTGCTGCTGCCGCTGCATCGTCGTCCTCGTCGTCGGCCTGCTGCTGCTGTTTCTTGCCACCCTTCTTGCCCTTCTTGGAGGTATCGGGGAACTCTTCGTCCATTAGGTCCTCGGCGCTGACCACGACGGGGGCCTTGGACTCGGCGGCTGCATCGTCGGCGCCGGCGTTGCCGCCGATGTCTTCTCCCAAGTCGTCGAAGTCGTAGTCGTCCTTCTTCTTCTTCTTCTTGTCCTTCTTGCCCTTTGACTTTTTGAGCGCGCTCATGAGGCCGCCGTAGTCGTCGTCGTCGTCGGCGGCGGCGGCGGCAGGGGCTGGCTTGCTGGCCTTGCCAGCGTCCTTGTCCTCTTCGTCGTCGTCGTCGTCTCCGCCGGCATCCTCGAGGGTCATGGCGGCAAATGCGTTTTTGCGGTTCGACTTTTTGGGCGGCTCATCGAGCAGGTCATCGTCGGCGGTGGCGGCGGCGGCGTTGTTGTTGTCGATCGACTCTCCGGCCTCGTCCCAGAAGTCATCGGCGCCGCCCTTTTTGGCTCCCTTCTTCTTTCCCATGGCTGGGTGCGCGAGGGCGAACGGGTGGCGAGGGTGGCGAGGTTGGCTCGGGGTGGGTTGAGCTAGCCAGGGTCCGGCCGGCGGGCGAGCGAGTGAATGCGGTTGCTGCTGCTGCTGCTGCTGCTGCTGCTGCCGCTAGATGGGCGGGAGTGGTGGACTCGGTCGTGGTAGAGTCGGTCCTACGTGCTGGTTGGAGTAGTGTGTCTCGTGCCGCAAAGAGATGGCCAAAGAGAGGGTGCGAGGGGTTGGATGAAGCGTCGAGCTGCCAGCCTTGTGGAAGCCATGGCCAGCAAGCCAGCCCAGGGAAAGCGCAGCAGGCTGGCAGGCAGGCTGGCTGGCTGGCTGGCTGGCTGCGAGGAGGGCAGACTCGTCCCTGGCCCTGGCAGCTTGTCTGAATTTTTTTCCCGCCAGAGGCCGGGGCCCTGTCGGACGAGAGGCGCCAGGGCGACAAAGGGCCCGGGCGGACGACAGCTTTGTCAGCATGACCAAGTCAAAGCCGGCGAGCGAGAGAGCGAAGCGGGGGCTTGACGATGACGTCGTTTAGCCCCGCGGCCTCCACCTCGCCAGGGCCTGGCAGGCTAGGGTTCAGCTGCGAGCGGTCCCCCTCGCCTCCCGACCACCACCAACATCGCCTCTTGACAGCTGCCATCTCTCTCATTCTCTCTCTCTCACGCTCTCGACGCCACACTCTCATACACACCATCGCAACCATGTCCGAGGCAAACGCAGGGAACAAGGTCGGACAGGGCATCGGCGACGCCGTGAAGGGGTGAGTGCGCCAGCCGGGTCCAGGCTACCCGGCGACGACGTTCTACGGGATCGACCGCCCTGACACGGCCACCACCGCTCCTCTTTGCCCATCGCAGCGTCTTCAACACGGGTCACGGCATCGGCGAGGTGATCCGAGGCAACATCAACCAGGGCGTCGACAACGCCGGAGAGGGGCTGCGGCAAGGCACCTCCAACACCAACGAGACCGGCACCGGCACCGGCACCGGCACCGGCACCGCCACGGCTGGCGGTGCTGCAGGCACCCACCCGGACGTCGCAGCCAAGTCGCGGCAGCACGAGGATGTGGCCAACAAGGGCCTCGAGGAGATCGAAGAAGGGGTGGGACCAGATCGACCGGCCAGAGCCAGTACGCCCGCACTGACG